TGGCAGAGAAGGGATTATGGTGTGGCTATCCTCCTGAGGGGAGGGTATTTTTTTCTCACTTTCCCTCTCTCTTTCTCTCTCTAGTGAGTGCGCATACCCTATGGCAAAAACAAAAACAAAGGTGCAAAAACTGAGTTCTTCTATTTGGGTCTATTTGTCTTTGTGAGATATCTCTCTCTCTCTCTCTCTCTCTCTCTTTGTTTAAAAAATACCAGCCATTAGGACCAACTACTGACATGAACTGAACTTAGAAGCACACATTCTAATCTTATAAAATATTAAAGGAAGGTTTATTAAAGTAATTTTTAATTATGTTGCTCTCACCAAAGAGAAATTACTAATGACTTTAAAGGGAAAGGAGAAGGAATATTGCATCTTTCATTAAAAATGAGGTAATTTGGCACCGCCATGGTGGTGGAGGCAGCAAGGCGCCTCTGGGTAATACTGGAACCTGGCTTCTGACTTCAGGGGACCTGACATGCCTGGCACAGCCCTGTGCCCCTAGTTGGCTGGGAGACTGGGAGGAGGATGATGGTGTAGTGAGACCCTGCCAAAGGGTACCTGTCTCAATAAATAAATAAATAAAATTAATTTTAAAAGCAATTTAAAATGGTTTCATCTTTACTATAACTTTTAATCTTTTTAGTGTATTTTATAATATATATTAATACAGTCTCACTTGCAAATCATTTATAAATAAATACATTGTGAATATCACTGTGGGAGGTGGAAGGAATAAAACTTGATCGGTAAGGGAGACAACTCTGAAAGCAGTTCACGTGGTCAGGACCCACAGTGGTGCTGGCTGATGGATAGTTCTCTTTCCTCTTTGGTGACTAATTTGGTATGAGAGATGGAAGGAAGACCGAGGGCCGGCTCCCAGACCTGTCCGGGTTGAGTGGGCACACGGAGGTACCATTCACTAAGACTGGAAACACAGGAGCAGGCTCTGGAGTGTTCCTGGGAGGCAACTGGGAGCTTGAGTCTGGACGCGTTTTCAGGGGCTTAGGCACCTCTCGTGGAGCCGTTTCCGGGAAGTTAGGTACATGGGCTGCAGCTCTGAGCATTGCAGTCTAGAAAGGAGGTGCAAATCATTAGCCCCTGGGAGATCTTCAAAACCCTGGGAGTGGCTGATCCCTGGAGTGGGCCAGCGGGGTGAGGGAGATGACTGGCAGGCAGGACTCGAGATCCACTGCTGTGGAAAGCCAGGCCATGGAGGGCGAGAATTTCCAGGCACCCAGGTATACGGAAAATTCGGACAAAGGGAGAGGGGAGTGGAGGCTGTCAACTCTGGAAACCGTGTCCTCCAGGCGTTCCAGGAAGGAAGGCGTGGTCAGCAGGCGCAAAAGCTGGGGAGAGGTGAGTGAGCGAGTCTGCAAGGCACTCACTGGCTTTGGCAACCAGGAGGTCATTCCGGACTTTAGGGCGTGTGTAAGAAGGTGGCGTGTGTGTGTGTGTGTGTGTGTGTGTGTGTGTGTGTCTGTGTGCGCGCGCGCGCTGGGAAGTGCGGGAGGCGATCCAAGTGACCAACAGACACCTGGGAAAAACCCATGCTTGCGGGCCGGTTCGGCTACCAGGAGTAAGTCACCTGTGTGGGGCCAGGACCCCAGAACCCTGCGTTGGGGGAGAGTCCTGAAGAGGGAGGACAGGAGGTGGAGCAAATAGGAACGCCATGGGGTGTAAAATCGAGCCCCATGGGGGCAGCGGAGAAGAGGTCGGGGGAGCCTGGTTGGCATCTGACCCCAGAGTGCGGCTCGGGCCCCGCCAAGCCCCGGCGGTGGCGGGC